CACGTGAAAGTAGTGTTTCAGTGATGGGAAAGATTAATTTCCAAATACGCTAGTGGTGGTAATTTCCAAATACGCCAAATGGTGCTCCAGTAGCTCCACTGCCCTGCTAAACCATGTCGAGGGTCCCGGCTCAGCGCACGAGGAAAAGCGTGCGGTCAACGCCCCGATTCGAGTCCCATACCCTTACAGGTAGTCTCGTACGGAGCACTGCTTAAGTATATCAAATTTTTACGATGCTCGGCGGCAGAATTCCAACTCCTGGTAAAGAATGCCAAAATTCAATAAAAACAATTTTTTTGAGTGAAAATTTGAGACACTGATGCGGGATTGTAAGGTATACATGCTAATAATTAAAAACATATTAGTTTTACTTTCTCGTATACGTACGTATTGTATACGGAGTATAGATAAAATTATGTAATGCTGCGGAAAATCGAATTCGAGGTTTCCTTGAAAATATGAGTTTTTGAGTTCCCAATTACCGAAAAAGGTTGATTTTTTTTTAACATTCGTCCGCCTGTGAACGCTACTAGCGCCTAACCCATACATAGGATTTTATCCAAAATGAATGTTCCCCGGTCGATCTGGATCGACTCAAGGAGCAGCGATTTTGAAAAACTCTTCAAAAATTGGTGCTACTTTACATGAAACTCCAGAGACGTTTTAAATTTTTTCTCAAAAATGGCTTTATTATATATATATATATATATATATATATATATATATATATATATATATATATATATATATAATAGAGTAAAATATACTGATAAAGGTGGCATCGATCCTAATGCAGCATGATGTTATTACAGCATCTAAACAGTTGGGTTGCTATTTACTATTAGAGCGCTCCAAGGCGCAAACCGTTGGTTGAGCATATGAGCATTTTTACTTTCCCGTATGCGTACATATTTACGGAGTGTGTTCAAGAGTAATATACTTAGTGTATGAAAAGTTATGTTATGCTACGGAAAATCGATTTCGAGATTTCGACGGAAATACACGTTGTGGGGTCCCCTGATATCGAAAAAGTGTTGTTTTTTTTTCTTTTTCTTTTTTCTTCAAAATATCCGTCCGTTCAGTGTCATTGAACCCTACTAGCGCCTAAACCATGCGTAGGATTTTTTTTCCAAATTGAAAAAAAAAAAAAACTGTCCATCTCGCTCGAGTTGATACTTTGAGATTTTGAAAAACATTCTTCAAAATTTGAGGGTACTTGACAGAAACCCTCCGGACATTTTCAATAACTTCTCCAATTTTTTTCCCTTAAATTTCTTGTGAGAATAGAGTTAAATACACTTATAAACGTGGCCTAGGTCCAATTTTCACGGTTAACTCCTAAATTTTTGAAAAATTCAAAAGTATGAATTGTTTTCGGTGTCTTCCTACTATTACAAAATTAAAGATGGATATTTTTCCTTCAAATAAAATTTGTTCTCCATAGTGAGTCCTTTCATTAAGGTCATGTATATTTTTTTGAAAATGTTAATAGTTGCGAGCAATACGTGCAATTTTAAAATAAATTACAAAAACAAGATTTTTTCAAACATTGCTCGTAATTTTTTCTTTAAACTTTTGGCAGGGATAGTGCTAAATCTACTCTAGAATGTGAGTTAAACTCCATGTTTTCTCTCTATTCTTTTTTTTCCAAAATTTACTAAAGTTTTTTTTTTTTACTTCTTTCATGTCGTTAATATTTATATTAGCGGCAATTTGTTCACATATTTATGAGTGCATATGCTGTATATAATGCCATAGAGTTTCTCAAAAACTAGCTTTCTCTGAAAACTAGCTCAAAATTCCGCATTTTCAGAAATGCGCAAACACCATTTTCTCAACAACGGGTTCAAATATTTCGAACATGAAGTGAGTGCTAATTCCACCCTTTAATATGACATATAATTCTTTTTTTAATTACACGTGTAAATTTTTTGAAAGATTTCTCACGCTGTTGATATGCACATTTCCTACGATTTATAAACATTATTGTATTTGTGAGCTAAAGTACTTAAAAAACTTCGAATGCAGGTTTTCGAAAACTCAAAAATTTCTGTGAAAAAGCCAAAATTTTGAATTTACAGTAGCACTTAAACGCCAGTTTGTTTTTCTTTTTTTTAAGTTCCAAGTTTTTCATAGACATTTTGCCATTTAAGAAGAGGTTTTACTGTTCTTTAATAATCTTAAAATAATAATTTATTAAAGAAAAATTAAGAAAATGTAAAAGAATATACGTTGGGCAGCGATAGATGGCAGCTGGCAAGAATATGTGGTAAGCCAAGACCAAAGGAAATTGAAAACTGAACGGGAAAGTCTGTGCGATTTTGTAGCACCACATTTTTTCTATAAAAAGCAGCAAAACCGTTAGAACTAACCTGCATATGCCCCCTGAACTTCGGCACGGACCAACCACCGTTTGCTTTACATTGGCCTGTCCCTCCGACTTAACCTTAGGCATATGACATAAACTCTAGCTAGGTGCCATCTATCACCGTCCAAAGTATTTTTTTGACATTTTCGTCTATATTAGATCGTAAATATTTTAAGAATATTAAAGTTCAGTAAAACGTCGCACTAAATGGCAATTCCCATTGGAAAATTTGGAGCCGTTTTTAGAAAATTGCGTTTAAGCGCTTCTGTAAATTCAAAATTTGAAGCTTTCTCACAGAAAATTGTTGAGTTTTCGAAAAAATTTCAGTAGAAATAATTTTAAGAACATTAACTCACAAATTTAACAGTGTTTAAAAATTGCTCGAAATGTGCATATTAATGGTGTGAGAGATGTTAAAAAAATTAATTTGTGTAATTTTTGAAAAAACAAAACTATACTTCAAAAAAGTGTGCAGCGAGCCTTATCTGTTTCGAAAAGTTTGATTAAACAATTTGGAGCAATTTATGAGAAAATAACATTTAAGCGTTTCTGAAAATGCGGGATTTTGAGCCACTATTCACAGAAAACTGTTGAGTTTTATTGCGAAAATTGCGATTTTTTTTCCTAGCCTTACAAATCTTTGTAACACGAGAAAGTTATGTAATCGTGCGCCAGAAAAAAGCCTGATTGCCGGGATTTGGTAATGGAAAAGTGGATAAATCCTGTTGCTATAATTAGAAAAAAATTCTAACTCGTGGTGTAGCCAGAATCCATGTTTTGTTGGTTCTTGATACCGAAAAATTGATTGACGGCGAACGTCCGTCCGTGCGTCCGTAGTCAACGCCAACGGCTAAACCGTTCATCTGATTTTCTCCAAACTTTATATTCACGGATCCATCTGGCTGATGTTGCGGCCGCTGGATTTTGAATCCGATATTTTAATTTTGGGGGGTACTTCACATGAAGCGTGACGGACGTTTTCAAAATGTTCCGAAAAAAGGCTCCAAACTGTTTGATTAAATTTTTTTGTTCGATAGTGTGAAAGATGCTTAGGAGGGTGCGGGTCTCATATTCGGCGATATCGCGAATTTTCGAAAATTGCAAAACTTATATTTAAAAGTACAAAATTAAAGATAGATATTTTTGCCTCAGACTAAGACTGTTGTACAAATTTACCTCTTTAGAAAAGGTCATGTACAATTTTTTGAAAAAACAAGTAGTTTTTGGGTATTGGGGGCTTGAAATTTACAACAAAAAAATACTCACAAACCACTCAACTTTTTTCTGTAAATTTTCTCCACGTATGTAACAAGGGACGATAAGAATTATGGTGCGAGTCTCATTTTCGGATATTGCTCTTTTTTTAAAAAATTGCAAAAACATCTCAAAACTACAATTTTGAAGATTGAGATTTTTGAATCGCACATTTTTCTTTTTTTGTGCAAAATTAGTTATTTAAATAAATAAATAAACTGGTGGTGCTATAGAATGGTACAGACTTTCTCTTCCTAGTTAGTTTTCTATTCTTTCTACTCTTGGGCATCTTGAAGCAACATTGCCTTCTAGGCTGTTTTCTTTCATCGCAAAAAAATACACATATTTTTCACACTTTCTTAATTACTCGGTTCCATAATCCTAGAACTGAAGCCATCATACACGTATTACTTTAGAAAAGTATTCATCACATGTCGTTACTGCATAGCCGAGGTGACAAATTGACAGGGAAGGGACTCAGCCCTTCGGAGGGCATGTTGGCTGGTTCAAGTCGTAGCCGGGAACTATTATTTGTGACAATTCTGTGTTGTGGCAGGAAATAAATGATAAGTACAGAAACTTTATTAAAAATCATTTGAAGCCATTCTAATCACGAATGCTATTAATCAAGATCTATAAACTGGAGTGTCTGTACATTATTTTCATATTTTCAACATTTAAATAATTTTTCACATCTCCTATGGGATTTGTAGGAACTCTTGAAATCAATTGTCTATAGGTGCTTATGGCTATTATAGAAGTGCCTATTCTCTGTTTAACCGTGGAGGCCGAAGTGGTTAAAAGTCAGTTTTGGAGTCAACATTTCGGAGGGAAGAGCTGCTGATTCAAGACTGGCTGCGGGTAGTTATTTGTCCCAACTCTCTGTTGCCCTAGAAAACTATTGAGAATTTCAGAAACTTTATTCTTAATCATTTGAAGCAATTCTACTCACACATTCAATCTATTGAGATTATAAATAAAGTGGAAGTATCTGTAGTATGCTATTTTCGATTTTTGAAATTTTAAACAAGTTTACAAATCTTTTGTTCTATTTGTAAAGCATATGTCACATCAAATCAGTTGTTCAATATAGTATTGTAGAGTGTTTTCAAATATTGTGAGAAAGTATGTGCTTTGACAGCACCACTTAGTTTGTTTTTGTTTTGAGTTAGTCTTTTACTAGTGGTGAAAATCAGCTGTATGAACTTGTCATACACTTAATAAGCCTAAGAAAGTCAAGTGTTTCAATTTGTATTGAAGTGATACGTTTTCTGCCAAAATATCAATCCTGCAAGAGCTACTTCAAATAACTTATTTTGGGATGTAATACACAGTTTTAAAATTAAGCCTAATTGTCTATTTCTTTCTGTCATTCCAGACACTACAAAAGAAACCCAAGATGAAGACAAGAAAATAGCAGAAATGGCTGAACTTATTGTTGAGAAAGTAAACTTTCTTGCGGAGGGGAAAGAACCTGTTCCTCCTGTTCAAGTTATGGCAATTCAAATTAAGGTTGGTGTTTTTAAGTAACTGTATTCATTAACTTATGACAGCAGTGAAGTGGTGTTACATGTATATTTCATGCTATTTGTTTGTAAAATAGATAGGCCAAATACCTTAATATTTCATGTAGTATTATTAAAGTTATTTGCAGAATAAATTAATATGTTTTAATTACAAGTAATAAGAAATTTTTTTTTATTTCTCACAGATTATACAAAATTGTTCTAGAACTGTAACGTTGCTATCAGGTGGATTTACACTTGGACAACATTAGTGGTAGTAGATATTTTAGTACCACAATTAGTGTTATCGTACGATAAAATTGAAATTTGTTTTCAAATCATTTCAAATTAGGACTTACAAAAAAACTTTTCAAATTGATTAGTAGTAATGTCACGATTCCTGATGCCAGTGACCTCCGCAAAAGTTGCTAAAGGTATGGTAATTCTCGTATGCCCGATAATTCTTGATGGTTTATGAACTATTACCATACCTTAAGTGGACGGATTTGTACCTTTCAAAGAAAATTATAATATTATCAGAAATAAAGTGATTTTGAAATGGGCTCTCAATCTGAAATTAGTTATACATATATTTTTCTGTAAATGTTGATAAGTACAAATTCCAAAAGGAATCATTTTTGATAAATTTGTAATAGAGTGAGGTCAAATAATTATAGGCTTAATGTCATCGTAATCCTGATTTTCACTTTCGACTACCCTTCTAATTAGGAGAGAATTTCTTGTCAGTTTTATAATGTGAGCTTGCGAAAGTATGGGCTGAAACCTCTGCGCTACTTGTGACAGAGATAGTCAAACCCAATAACATTGCATGAGTAATTCAATTTGCGTAAAAGATTCTCACTATTCCCAATGTCCAACTACCTCACAGTTTGTAAACTGTTTAGGTGATTTTGCATCAAATTCCATCAAATTTTGTGAATTTTAGTAAACCTTAGTTAGGAACTCCACAATACAATTATACATCGCTTTTATCTAAGAGGAGCTTTGAAGACAACTAATAGTAACTTCATCAAATAGGAACTATAAACATCTAAATGGATCTTTAAATATCACATTCTCCAAACAACATACAACGCAGGAGTTCCACAAGGCTCGTGCCTCTTCTTCCTTTTAACGTTTTCTTATCTGATATTCCTCTACCAATCACCTCCAATATAGCTCTTTTACCGACACAGCACACTTCATTCCACATGATGATATTCTTCTACTATGTGGCCATGACAACCTACAAAATGATGTTACAACCTTAACTTAACGGAAAATGGAGAATTAAGATTGGTGCAAAATCACAAATCATCAAATTTCCAACCTTCATAAACCCAAACCATCCCATCCCAATACTCTTTCAAAATATACATATTGAATGGCTTCCAAAACAAACACCAATCAAAAATCTAGGACTCGCAGTAGTTATGAAAAGTTATGTGGGAAAAAGCCGAATACTGCCACATAAGCAAATTACAAATTATACAAAATGTGTAAGAAAAATCATCCAAGTCCGTGGTTTGCTAGTAACCAATAATTACTCAGAGCTGAAAAATGAACATGGGGGCCATCAGCACTCAAGCAGCACTTATCTCAATCTCTTTGAAGCTCCCAAGCAAAAAATGCTTCTTACTTTATTATTATTATTATTATTATTATTATTATTATTATTATTATTGTAATTGTTGTTGTTTTTATTATTATTATTATTTACTGCATTACCTTATAATATACACGAGAGTATCAGTATTTGTAGTCTTGAGATAAGTTTCCTTTTTCTGCTGATTGCCATAGCAGGATTGTCAGTACAGTCTCTGTCAGCTTAATTTCCAGAACACAAAGCGAACGGTCTGTAATTCACAACCAAAATCTCGATTTCACTGTGGTGCAGCTCGTCACCAATGGATGTAAAGGGGAGAGGAGGGGAATGGCCTTAGCAATGACACAGGTATTTTTTTAGGATCACAATGCTCTAAATGCAGCTCCTTGAGCATGTCTGGACTAACATGAAGATGCCGTCTCTTAATTTACCCATTTACGAACAAAAAGGAATGGAATGGAAATAAGCTAATGTGGGGAGATGTTTAAATACTATGCATGCAATACTATGCAATACTTTTAAGTGATGTTTTTGTACAAGAAACATTTGCATTTGGCCTCACATCACTTCTGAGTGCTTTTTTCCACAGACCCTGGCATCTGCTTGGGAAACAGGTGCCCTGTCCCACACCTACTGGTCGAGCTGGCTGGCAGACACGTCAACTGAACTCGTTCGTCTTGAGCAGGAGGCTGCTCCTAGCGGTTGGGCTTGTGAATGGGATAGGTACAGTATCCACTTTAGTAGCACATTCTGTTCCTTATCCTGTGACTCAAGCCTGTTCTGGACTCTGTTTTTCAAGTAAATGTACTGGAAAGACTTTGACCATTAATAGTAAACTAATTAACTATTTCACTATAAAGAAGGAAAAGTTTTTTTCTTTTCCAAACTTATTGAAATAAGCTAAAAAAAAGTGTGAAGAAGAAATGGAAAAGACTGGCATGAAAAGGTAAAAGTCACACAATGGGCTGGAGTTAGTTCCTGAGGACTACATTCTCAGCTTGCCTTGGCTGACGGATCCTGTGGAACAAGCCGTGAGAAGCAGCATGCTTTGCAGACATTTTCCATTGAAGAGGATTAATCGCAAAAGGTGAGGTCATTTGTTTTGTGTATATTTGTGCTTCTCAAACTGGGATGGAAGTTCTTTTTTAACGTAGCCGCAAGTAATAGTTCTAATCATATTAATTATGATATTGTTATTAAAAACATTGCAAAATGATTTTTTTTTAATGTAGTGAATTTGTTCTGTTTACTTTATTTGGAACTTGGAGCAGAACATAAAGATGAGAGTTAGGATTTATTGGAAATAAGAATGCATTAAATCTGAAGTTGTATAGAAGGAAGTCATTTATAAGTTGTCTTGTGTTTAATTTACAATTCTTGTGTGTATCGTGTGTGTGTGTGTGTGTGTGTGTGTATTCCAGATAAATAGTGTCATCAGGACTGTCTTAAACTTGCTTATCAGGATAAATTAAATTATTGAAACAAATTGAAAGTTATTCAAAATGGAGAAAAATTCAAAAAGTAAATTTTCCTTGATTTTCAAAAGTATTGTAAAATGTATTTTGGGTTATTTATGCAGTAATGTTAATATTGTGCTGTGTATTCATGGTCATTATCTTCAAGATTCATGCTTTTGTCTTCTTCAACAGGCATCTTCTGGCAGGATGCTCATCAATAGACTGCCAGAAATCACTTCAGTTTGCTGTGTGCTACTTAGCTCTGTCCTATCCCCATTTTGTGCTCATAAATTCCATGTCAAAGTAGCTAAGTAGCACCAACAGCGTTCAGCAACATGGACCAGCCTTTCACAACTGAATTTGCACATTGCTGTCGCCTCCGCCGTCAGCGTGAAGAATACTTCTCAGAACTTTCTAGTATGATTTTTTTATCATGCCCAATCTTTCATCAATCCACCCAATCTCTTGTAACATACAGAAAGGACAAGGTGAATGTCTGAATAATTGGGGAAAAAAAAGAAAAAAGTTTTACTTTGAATATGTAGGCGTTACTCACATTTTTCAAATGGAAATATTTTGTACATTAGTTTTATATTAATCATAATGAAAAACATTTACCTTGCACAATATTTTTACGTATATTTTACAAAATATTTGGTGGATTTGAGAATATTGAATTGTAAAAAAATCACACTAGAATAAAATGCTGTATTGTCATTTTAGGCTTTTTTGTATGTATGTATAGTGATTGTTGCATCTTTTCACGTGGAACATAATAGTGTGGTCTGGGAGAGCAATGGTGATATGTGATATTGGGATATCTACTCAAGAAGAGTAGTTTATTACTCAACAGTATTCTTTAAATTCATATTCTATTGAAATTTTTTAAAATAATTTATGTCATCAAGAATTAAAGCAATTTATTTCAACTATAAGGGAACACTGAAACTCCATAAAAAAATGTCCTTACTTTTTAATGATTCTACAATGCCTTGTTGATTATGAATTTGTGCATTGCCCCTTATCCAGGATTATTCCAATATATATGAAGTATAATAAGTTGGATGCCATTGTTATTGTTAAGAAACAGACATATTTGTGGGAACAAGTATTCTGGTGCATTATACCAACTGTAGTTTATTACTTGCAATTTCTTTTCTTTCTGCATGCACGCTGGTGTAGGTCATACAAGAGATATTTCTATCGCAACCTCTCCAGTGGGGAGACCCAGTGGGAGTATCCATCGACTTCAGAAGAAGATGCTATGGAGTTGTGCACAACACCCCCTCCACCACCTCCACCTATAATATCTCAAGGTGAAACATCCAATTCAAGCAGAATTTCTACTAGGAAGGAATCTGGCTTGTCATCACCTGTTTTAAAAAAGAGAAAGACTGAAGATACAGTGACATCAAGCTCTGAAGATTCAAAGGATCTTCCTGGTATTGTATAAACATTGATTATTGTATAATTTCTACTTAATTGCTTTTTAATGACAATTTCTGTGAGCCTTCACTAAAAGTCATTTGATATTCTCTTTCTTCTTTTTTTCTCTCCTCTCTCTTTCACAAGTGCTACTGAATAATATACTGAATACATTCACTCTAATTCCTGTGTGTGATTTGTTACAGGTGAACTGGTATCTGACATTAATAATGATGCCAATACTACAGAATCACCAGTAACACCACCTCCACCACTACCCCCTCCTCCATCTGCACCTCCTCCCCCTCCACCTGTGCAGCCTCCTTCTCCTCCACTTCCTCCACCACCACCCCCA